GTTTAGGGTGTAGGGGCCTTAAGACTTAGAATAGGGTTTCTCCAAAGGGTTCCTTTAAAGGGTTCTATAAGGGCTAGTATAAGGGTTTAGGGTGTAGGGGCCTTAAGAATTAGAATAGGGTTTCTCTCAAGGGTTCCTTTAAAGGGTTCTATAGGGGCTACTATAAGGGTTTAGGGTGTAGGGGCCTGAATGGTTAGAATAGGGTTTGGGGGTATATGATACTGTAATTAGTAGAAGGAGCCCCTAAAACCTTATTCTATTTTTTAAGGCCCCTACATTAACTGCCCTTGAAAGCAGCTTGAACATGAGTCTTTGATGATTTATGCCAGCGGGGTTTGGGGTTTAGGGTTTGCATGGTGTTTGGGGTTTGGGGCTTACAGGGCTTATCGGTGTGTGGGCTCTCCAACTCTCCAACTTGTCGCAGCAACCATTGAGCCGAGCTGCAAACCATGCACAAGTTTATATTATCTAGCTCCCGAATCCCGCGGGTTTAGGGTTGAGGGGTTTGGGTTTAGGGTTCAGGCTTAAGCGGGTTAAGGTTTAGGGTTCGGGTTAACATCAGATTCCAAAGCGCTAAGCCCCTTTTCCCAGAGTCTAAACCACAACAGCCAGGTGGCGATCTTCTCGACAGATCGCGCACAGCAGACAACGCTTCTGCAACAGGCGTGGGGTGATTGATACACTCTACACGCTGGACTCCTAGACCCTCGGAAAGGGAATAAAAAAGCCTTAGCCGTGCCTCCAATACACCCCTCGACACCATTCCTGTTTTCAATTTTTCCAAATTTCACTGCACCTTTGTGTGTAGACTACGCAGACGCTAAATGCAGAGTGTAGTAGCTGCTTCAAGAGCAGCTTGTGCTTGAACAAAACCCCGTGGCTAGGGTCTTGTGGTTCCGGCTCGTGTTCGTGCGTCCAGGACCTCGCCATCAGCACGGCATCTGACCTAAGTTCTGCAACCTCGAACCCCAGGCTCTGAGCCCGAAGCCCTAAACCCTTGGCCCCAAATCCCAAGCTGTCAGTCCGCTTTTCCTACCCAGCAACCTCTGCATCCCGTGCCGATCCGAGGGGCCGAGCCAATGTAGGGACCTGAATAATTACCTATAGCATGTCACTTATGCAGGGTTCCTTTTTACATTCATACTCTGAAGGAGCCCAGAACGTAGCAGGGTGCTGTGTTTAGGGTTTACGGTTTTGTGCTGCCCTCACCATAGCAGAGTAACCTAACCTCCACCCCGAATCCTCAACCCGCAACCCTAAACCCGATACCCGAAACCCGATACCCTAAACCCTAAACCCGAAAAGTTGTAACTGTTTCTGTTTTGGGGGTTCCCTTCATTAGTGTATAGTACAAAAATCTCCCAAAACCCTATTCTAACTCTCATGCAATCCCCCTACGTTACAGCATAACCCTAAACCCTAAACTCTAAAGCCCTAAACCCCTATAAACCCTAAACCCGAAACCGTGTAAGCCGTAAGAGTTCGAAAGGCTCTCCGTTGCTTCTCCCGGTCTTTGGCTTTCTCCGGGCGAGTGCCAACTTCGCGTTCCAGGCTGGCTGGCTTGTGGCTTTGGGGTTGAGGGGCCTGAGTTTAGCAATTAGAAGAAGGTCTTCGGGTTAGGTTTATAAGGGGCCATAGCAGGATGTTATTGCTGATCTCTCCGACCTTTACAGTATAGGGTATCCCCTACGAAGGGGTCTTGCGCGGAGTGCATGTCAGCTTCGTCGACGAGAACCACACACCTGAGCCTTTTTGCGGGGTTTGGTGGTAGGTTTTGCATAAGTAGTATAGGGCCCTATAGACTTTAAATTTAAAGAGCTCTGTAGGCTTTATGAGGGCCTCATGGGGGTTTCTGTCCCCTTGGGGTCCCTGCCTCAAAAGCCTTGTTCTGGTTATGAAGGCCCCTTTAATAAGAGTTGATGGGTCAAGTCTCGGACAGTTCGGCTGCAGTTGCATCGACCCTGGGCTTCGAGTTGTAGGTTGCAGCGGCTGTAGAATTCCTGGAGGGTCAGAGTAGGGCTTTGGGTTTAGGGATTCCTGATCTGTCTAGTGCTTCCTGGAACCTTCGAGAGAAATCTCGCTCTTTGAAGCTGTTACATCCCAGAAGGCTTAAGCCCTAAACCCTAAACCCTGAACCCTAAAACTCTAAGCCCTAAACCCTTAAACTGGAGCCCGACACCCTCCGCCAGGCATCTGTGAATTCCTGGAGCCCACAGCCCCCGGCGCCGAATCCCGAACTGAGCCAGCTGAAGTTACTTTTGCAGCATTGGGTTTACAGTTCAGGGCCAAAGTTTGCCTTAAACGCTAAACCCTGTCACCGGCCTGTCGCCATGTTATTTTTGTTGCAGGCGCACTCGGTCCGCATCACCTTCCGTGTGCCGCAGCTTTTGACTTGACTTAGGAGTTGAGGGTGTAGGAAGTCTTCAGGTTTTATCAGGGTTTAGGGTTCAGGGTTTTAGGGTCTGTTACCCTAAACGCTAAACCCTAGACCCAAGACCCTAAACCCTAGACCCTAAACCCTAAACCCTGAAAGTCTTTATGGGAGTTTCGGGTTGATAAGGGTTTGGAGGGTCGATCCATCGGACGGTTTCCGCCTTCCGGCTTCAGGCTTTCACCCGCAGGGAGGGGCATCTCAACATCTGGTGGGGAGTCGGAGTTTAGGGGTTAAGGGTTCGGGGTTAAGGGTTTAGGCGTTAAGGGTTCAGGGTTTAGGGTTTGCAGGGTTTAGGGTTTAGGGCTTAGGGATGCGTAAGATTCTCTGAGGAAGTGGAGAGATTCTCGTTTGTGTTTGTGAGGGACTTGGAGGTTCAGACCCGGACACCCTTCTCTGGCGTTGCTGGTGCTAGCTTTCTTGCGATGGGCCCAAAGATGCATAGGAGTGATCAGAGAAATGAGTGCAGATGCTGCTGGAGGTTTTGCGGTACTTCCATCCAGCCGATGTTGTTCTGGCATGACAATGACGAGCCCATCTGTCTCGTAAAACGACTGATCTGGTTGCGACATAGCCACGGCTGTACAATCGAATAGGACCACAAACTGCTGTCGTCAGAGTGGTGTCATACGTTGGGCCGTTCGATAAGATCTCCTCTTCCTCTGCAGGTCTGTGATGCGTGGGTCTCTAGAACTTGCTCGCTGGGCAGATGGCATAAATCACAGTCTATCGGGCATAGCGGTTGTCAGAACAGACCGCCCTCCGCTCCTCACAAGGCAGGTTCTCGACAGAAAGCAGTTTTGTCATGACAGGCAAGTGCCCAATGGTCGGTTCCTGTGAGGCACCATAACACCACTATTGCCACGATGCGACAACGATTGCACATATTGCTACCGTTTGGACTTTATCCTGTTACCTGCGCAAAGACCACTTCTACAACCATTGTGGTGTCTGCCTTCTTTGCTTGTTTTGCCAATATTGCGATGCTTGGTATGACTCAAAGTTACTCCTCGTACAAGGTGCCCCGCAATCGTTGCAATGGTAGTTCTGCTTAGCTTGTCTCGTTACTTGCCACTAGTATAAAGCTGTCCTTACCGCTACGGCATTGCTTCGGTTGCTTGTGCGACTCGGCGTACGGTGGCAACACGCGACCCCTTGTTTGTCGCCGAACCCCCAGACCCCCAAACTTGAAACCCCGAAGCCCTAAACCCGAAAGTGGGGTTGCTGTTGTCACTTTTGGAAGCCCTAAACCCGAAACCCCTAAACCCTGAACCCCTAAGCCCCTAAAGCCCTAAGCCCCTAAGCCCCTAAAACC